AAGTTAGGATTTATTTGCAAAATACTTATATGATCTAAATACTCATATGGTCGGGTCCGTGAATAACCAAACGAGTATATACTCAAATTGTCCCACTATACGCATATGGCCGAACCATATGAGTACATATATATGGTTATGACTATACGCGTATGATCCAAATACTCATGGTCCGGAACATCAATAAAACCCGCTTTGCTGACAGACTATTGTTGAACATGTAATTTAAAACGGTGTGATGTTTTCATAAAATGTTTATCCTCGTTAGCCATAGTAAGAACGATGTGGTAACAGATTTTCACTACGATAGGGTAAATACTTGTTTAATGCATTTTTTTCTCATTGGTACATAAACGCACACACTAAGGTGGCCTTGACGATTGCATGACTTTCGATCTATGTTTTATCTTTATCAAATAGTTGGATCAAATACAAGTTTAACATTAGTTCATGTGTAGACGATAGTTGTTTTTACGAAATCATGTGGTCAATCTGAGACCAAAATTTTGAAATGAAATACATATGTGTAATTAGAACTATTGAAGAATTATACATAACATCAAAAACTAGTATTCTCTACATAAAGAGATTTAACTATAACTAAATATGATTAAGTTCTTGATGAACTTAAAATGTGTGAATATAAATATACCAGATTAATTATGTTAGTGCCGGAAATATCTCTACTTTTGATATTTATTCCTTCAACAATAGTTACAACGATTTGATATTTTTATATTTTTACATGCTATACTATGTTATTTTGTGTAAATTTGTTTCAATTCCATATTATTACACAATAACCAGATCATCAATTACTGCCGTTGACTTATTTTCTAGGGAGGATTAGATCAATAGCTTAAAAGCTATATCAGATGACCTAGTTTTGCTTAATGACAACGCTAGGTCTAATAGTATTATTTATTAGGCTGAATAAAACCCTTCTTCAACCAGAACAAACTTAATACATATAAAAGATTTGAAATCAGAAAGTTATCGTTATATTTTGACCTAACTGATTGTGTCCTTTTCCGATTGTGAGGTTTTGATAATTATAGATTCGGTTGGTTGGTGATGGAACTGATGCATGCATTGAATGAGACGATTACCCTGTTGACAAATTTGGTCTCACTACAATTTGAGTTCATGCGATTTACTCAGTTATTGTTTGTTATCTTGATTATCTGTTCTTTATCGATTAATGCAACTTGATTGGAAGAGAAAGTAGAAAAATGTGACATGTACTGTTGACACAGAGATCTGTCTCGCATGTTTGTAATTTTGATATTATAATGCAAATATTGAATTTAAATGGCAATATTTAATCATGTAAACTATGCAAAACATTTAAAGTCAATGAGCCATGACCAATTAACCTCCATAGAAATTAGACATGAAAATGCTTATAAAATGCATACCTATTACCATTGACTTGTCATACGTGGTTACCTTAACACTAACCTAAACACAAACTTTAACTTGTACACAATGTAAAAATTTCAAAGTCAATGAACCCTGATAGGGGCGGGGCCAAAAAATATTTATGGAAAAAAAGACTTGCAAATGATAATACTATCATAGACTTGACATTAGTGGTTCCTCTTAAACTAATATAATCATGTGAACTATGCAAAACATTCAAAGTCAATAGACTGAGTAGGCAGAGTCAAACAAACTCTAAGGAAATAAGAGGTTCAAATGCTTATGCATCTGCATACCAAATATCATTGACCTAACACAATTAGTTCCCCTTAAACTGACCTAATCATAAACTAATACATGTACATGTTAAGCAAGCAAAACTTTCAAAGTCAATATTTCATGACTGAGGGGCAGGGCACAATTATCTCCATGGAAATGAGATGTGCCAATGGTAATACAACTGCATACCAAATATCATTGACCTACCACTAGCAGTTCCCCATAAAACCGATATCATCACAAACTAATACATTGTTCACACCGCCGCCGTCAGAAACAGCATACTTACGTCTCACTTTTTGACTCCGTCAAAGCAATATAATAAAATGAAGATGATGACGCTCATGGTTTTATAACATTCTTAAGCAACTTGTTCCGTTCATTATGAATTGATATATATATATATATATATATATTACGGTTTTTATCTAACGCAATTATAGGTTTGAACGTTGTTTTCAATTTAGACTTGTTTATATTTTTCGTTTGGGTTTGTATTATATTTGCCTTGGGGTTTATATGATTCGTTCATTCTATTTTGACTCCTCAAAATTCAAGAGTCTATCCTAAATTGAGGTAAATTGTTCATGTTGTATTGCTTTCCAAATACCGTTTCGATTCCTAACATCACTGAAGAGACATTAATTGTCGAAATCCGGATACGGTGTACAAAAACCTTTTGCGCCTTTTGTCTGCGGTATACCATCTTTTCCGCAAGTTTATTGTTTTCTGTTTAGTATTAAATTTATAATTAAGATCCATTTATAACATCGGTGATCCGTTTATTTGGCAATCGCCAATGGCAGTCAGCAGGGTTTAAGAAATTTGTTGTTCGACCTGTAAGTCAAATGCGTTTTGTTAAAATATACTTTTTCACTTTTTTGGTCTTTTGGAAAATGATATTTGTGCTGTATTTAGATCCCTCTAACAAGAAATTTGTTTTGCATGTACACGTATCAAAATTGCGATTTTTATCCAACGCAATCATAGGTTTGAACGTTGTTTTAAATTTAGACTTGTTTATATTATATATATGTGTGTGTGTATGGGTGTGTGTAAATGCCTAAGAATGTAACTTTAACACGCCAATGAGTGTTGTTATATTTTATATATTTACACAATATTTCGCCTAAAAAAGTAGCTTTATCAGGCGTGTGCAGCCATCAAGGTGAAATCGGATGCTGTTAAGAAGTTTATGTAGCTTATCGTACATGTCCTTTAAATATAATTGTGCAGCTTATTGTACATTGCGATTGATAGTTTCAAAACAAATAGTTGTGTTAGTTAAATACTATAGAGTTCAAGATTTATTCCTATGATTTTGATAAAACTGTTTTTCATCCCTCTCTTTCAGTCCATTGTGTTCAAGAGTACGTAGCTGATGCATCCAAAATTTCTCTTTTTGTTTTCTACTTTGGGTGTCCCAATTTTGGTTTACCTCTATTCTTTGAAAGGTGATATTTGCAAAAGTATGTCTTGTTCTTAAGAGGTGTCTCTTGATTGGGAAGTTTCTTCCTTTGGTATAAAATAAACGGTGATTATTAAGTCTGATATTGAATTTACTTTCTGTTTCGCCAACATATTGCAGCTTGCAAGTTCCACAAGTAGGAATGTATATACTATTTTCTGTTTTACAATTAAATGTTACAGATATGTTGTATCGATGCTATGTTACTGTGCTGGTGAATGAGTTTCCGGTGTTTGCGACTTTACAGCATTTACAATGGCTTCTTCCGCATTGTTTGTAACACCCAATTTTAGAGATTTCTTGTTTTTTTTTTATTTCATATGTAACAAGTATATCTTTTAGATTTTTGGGTCTGCGATAAGCAATAACAGGAGGAGATGGAAAAATTCCTTTTAAGGAAGAGTTATTTTCAATAAGACGCCAGGGCTCGTTGACAGTAGATGAAATATTTGTCAGATCGGGATGGAAGGTGACAAAACTGTGCGGGTCGTATTGTCTTTGTATTCCATGAGGATATTTCGATCTTTTTCTTTGGTCTTTACCGAAAGCTTCTGTGATATTTTTGTATATATAAACAGAAAACAATAAACTTGCGGAATAAACTCATCATAGATACCAGGCTTGAAATTTTATATTTACGCCAGACGCGCGTTTCGTCTACAAAAGACTCATCAGTGACGCTCGAATCAAAAAATATTTAAAAGGCCAAATAAAGTACGAAGTTGAAGAGCATGAGAAGATGGTATACCGCAAACAAAAGGTGCAAAGGTTTTGTACACCATATCCGGATTTCGATAATTAATGTCTCTTCAGTGATTTTAGGAAAGCCATACAATTTACCTCAATTTAGGATAGACTCTTGAATTTTGAGGAGTCAAAATAGGATGAACGGATCATATAAACCCGGAGGCAAATATAATAAAAGTCTAAACGAAAAAATATAAACAAGTCTAAATTGAAAACAACGTTCAAACCTATGATTGCGTTTGATAAAAACCGCAAGTTTTATACGTGTGCATGCAAAACAAATTTCTTGTTAGAGGGATCTAAATACAGCACAAACAACATTTTCCCAAAGACCAAAAAAGTGAAAAAGTATATTTTAACAAAACGCATTTGACTAGCAGGTCGAACAACGGATGTTCTTAAACCCTGCCGACTGCCATTGGCGATTGCCAAATAAACGGATCACCAGATGTAACAAAATGGATCTTAACTATTAATTTGATACCAAACAGAAAACAATAAACTTGCGGAAAAGATAGTATATCGCAAACAAAAGGTGCAAAAATTAGTACACCGTATCCGGATCTCGACAATTAATGTCTCTTTAGTGATGTTAGAAATCGAAACGGTATTTGGAAGGCCAAATAATTTACCTCAATTTAGGATAGACTCTTGAACTTTGAAGAGTCGAAAAAGGATGAACGGATCATATAAACCCGAAGGCAAATATAATATATATATATATATATATATAGCAGAATTTTTGCATGGCCTTTGAAAAAATATGCATCTAGTGTTGTTAATTAGTTGCTGTGTAGTTTTATGAACTGAATATAATTTGAAATGTAATGATTCGTCGTTTGCTTTTTCTTTATAAATACAAAAGGATTTACGTTGAATAAAGTGACAAAGATGAACTTAACACCAAATTTATATAACACAAGTTTTGACATTTGTAGAAAAGTTGCAATTAACTTTTTGAAAAAAGGATGAAGAAAGTAAACATGAATAAATTAATACTAGGAGATGTGTGATATAATGCAATAGCAAACTAGCAGCACATGGCATCATTTTGTTTGTTTTTAGGCGACATTAAGGTACTTACAATTTTGTTAGCGCCGACAATCCTTCAAATAAGTTTGCATCTATCCTTGTAATTTTATTGTATGACAAATCCCTGAAAAGTACATTTTTAATATTCATTTTTGAATAACATTAATTTCGTAGAAATCATAGACAACTAGCAGTGGTGTACGTAGAGCTGTGTGAAACTGATTTAATAATTGCATGCATACATGACATAATGACAGTTCTTGCAACCTTAATAATTTAAGTTGGAGAATAACATTTTCAAGTTCTACTCTTAAACCTAAAAACTCTTGTCCAAATACTTTTGTACAGCATTACGAATAAATATTTGAACACAAAAACATTTGTGTTTGTAACCATATTTAACCGCAGCTAGGTCAATACAACTGTTGGCAGACATTTGGACAATGTGTCATCAATTTTCAATTTAGTTACCTAAGTTGTCCCTGTTAAGTCCACACAATGCTTTATTATCTTTATGCGTACATTATAATTTGCGCAACATTTTTGTTTCGTTTTTTGATCAAATCAAAATTGTGTTAAAATGTTTTGCACTCTTCATTCAGTATTTACCCACAAAATATTTGCTAAATTGCGTATATTTTAAGAACTTTAATTGATAAGTTTTATTCAAGTTGTATTAAACATTCCATACTTAAACACAATCAGCAATTTATCGTTATATATTGATATTTGTTCATGCATGTTTATATAAACTTGGAATGCAGTCGATTATCAATTAAATCCAAACATGTATGACAAACTAGAAGAAAGGTAAGTGAACATTGACCAAAGTACAATGGTTTCGTTGTTATGAAAATGATAATTCTCAATCGAAGACGTGTAGTGCCAGCTTGTTAAGAGTATTCCTCTCTTTGAATATTTGCCTCATTTCTAATAATCAGATATTCATTCATGCTGCAGTTTACTATCTTGTTATAAACTGTTATAAACTGATCCATGGTAATCTCTCAATGGACAAAAGTGAGATCCCTTAAGTTATCTTATTATTTAATTGCATAACTCGTGTGTCCTTTTATTTTATTACTTCAAAATGGTAAACCTTATACTTTATATGGTCAAAATAAAAACAAATATTTGCAGTACAAGTGCAGTAAGGCAGCAATGCTTCAAAACTGGTTGATACATAGTAAACATTCTGACATTCTGACAGATGTGGTGTAAATAGGTATTAAACGTGAATAGCTTAATTAACTTGCATTAAAAACATCTACCAGTCCTGCTCTAAAACATAAATCCGTGTTGTTCTTAGACAAATATACCGCAATATAAACAGTGAATTAAAAAACAAAAACAATTATCTTAGTGGCAATATTATATAACAACTAGGTAGAAACAAATGTTGGATGACTTTAAGTGGAATCTTATGACAACAGAAATTGATACCTTTATGCAATCATGTAAATTTTTATTGGAATCAGGGTAACGATAAATATTTAATAAAGTCATCAAAGAATGCAAGCAGAGAATGTTAATCACGAATTTTTTATTCAGTTATCTAATGTGTCCATAGGTACCTATACTTCTTAACTCATATAATGTAATTTGTACAATGGAAAATGCCTGTACTAAGTCAGGAATTCTTTGAAAAGGAAGGATAACAAATTATTAGAGAAACAGATTCCACCACTATAACTCGTGTATCAAGATATTCCTCCACTCTCAACAGTTAAATTTTAATTATTTAAAAAGCTCGGAAAGCCTCGCGCTTTAAATTATAAAATTGAACTGTCTCGAGTGGAGAAATATCGTAACACCTTTGTTGCAGTTGTGGAATCTATATTTCTGAAACAACCAAATTTGGGTAATATTAGCATGTAAAAGATGACATATTCGAGTTGCCAAATCGTTTAAACCTATGGTTCAAATATTTTGATTTTTTTATAAGATGTTTAGCTAGGCCTAGATTATCAATGAAAGAAAAACAAGAAAAATTAAACGACAGCTTTTTTTGGGAGGTAAAGTTTTGGGTACCCCCTTAACTTTTATTTCTTTAAAAAGGCAAACTTTGCATAATAAATAAAATATTTGTGGAAAATTGGAGTGAGACAGAAGTGTTGGAATACTCGTTCATACATATTATACATTCTGACAATAGATACACAGTATACATTCTGAAAATGTGTATCATACAATAAATAGTAATTATACGCGAATAGCTTAAATGATTAACGGAAAATGAAAACCTCTGCCAGGCTTGCTCTAAAACCATACAAATTGGTATTGTTCTTAAGAAAGTAAACCGCTTTATAAATAATGAATTTGAAAACAAAAACATTTGACTAAATGGCCATATTAAATAGCTAGGTCGATCATGTTGAATGACTTTAAGAGAGATCTTATGACATCAGAGACTGATATCCTTATGCAATCATGTCAATATCGACTGGCAAAAGTGAAACGATAGATTTCTACTTTGCACAACAGTTCCTTTCATTTGTTAAGCAATTTATTGTACTGGAACTTATATTGGTTCATTATTAAGAAGTAAAGATTCTTTTTTTATTACAAAGAACTACTTTTGAACCAAGGGTACCGTTTAGAGTTTTAATTGAAATATTTCATAAACCTTCAAGACTCGACAGCATTCAGAAGTTAAATGAAATACATCGATATTTGTTGATAGTGTGTAACATTAACGGTGATTCCAGTTAATAACCCTAAATATGATTTGAAAACATCTTATCAATTAAATAACATATATCCAAATGTCCTTATTATTTTTGTATTGAAATGTTATACCTGAAAATGAATCTCAAGTTAGATTAACACACAATTTGTCTATTTGTAGAAACAATTCTAAGCATTAAAAAAGCATCATTCTCTATTCTATGAAAGGTATACCAATGTTAAAATATCTTAAATCGATTAAGAATACAATTCAAGGTGACTAATAACGACCTGATGCGTAGAAAGTTTAACACATGCATCAAACAAATACAGAACTCCAAGATAAATTAAAAACAGAAGGAAGTCAATACAATCTGACAATTCCAAACACTCCACTATATCAACCAACGGAACTCACGAAAACAAATATCATGTCTCCGTTTTTGTGAAGATATTTTTGGAAGAAAAAGAAGTTGTCGTTTTAACATGGTTTAATAGCTAGGTAAACCTTCCCCTTTGATGACAGTTATCAAAATATCAAAGGTTTTCTACCCCAAAAAAGATTACCTTAGCTGTATTTAGAGAATCTTTTCGGAATTTAGGGTCCTTTTTGCTATTCACCTTAGTACTTTATTTGGGCTGTTTATTTTTTTTTTCATTTGAGCGTCACTGATAGGTGTTTTGTAGACAAAACGCGCATCTGACTATACAATGTTAATTCTGGTATCTATGGTGAGATTATTCATAGTGCCGTTCGATTGAAAAAAATAGTATGAGCAAAATAAAAACACATAATCGGTGGACGTAAAAAAAAATTAGATCAAGCAGCCAAAGTTGTGTAAACATACATCAGAGATATACAACACAATTGATTAAAACAAATAATAACAAATATAGGTCCTCACTGCTTTGATACTTTATTTGGCCTGCTTGAATTGTTTTATTCGTGCGTCAATAATGAATGATTTGTAGACACAAAAAAGAGTCTGGCGTACAAAATTTAAATCTTGTATCTATGATAAGGTTATTCATAGTTCCATTCTATTGAAAAAAATGTATGAGTAACATAAAATCACATAATTGGTGAACGTGACGATAACTGGGATCAAGCAGCCATCATATATATATATTTTTTTTTAGATATACAACACTGTTGACTCAAACACATCTAAAAAACATTCAAATAAATCCGACAAAGGCGTCAACAAAAACGTGTGTTAGTTGAGATAAGCGTCTCTTCATACAAGTGGTAGAATTAAATAGCCATTATACTTAATTTAATCCACCATTTTCTACATAAGGAAATGCCTGTACCAAGTCAGGAATATGACGGTTGTTTTTCCCTTTGATGTGTTTGAGCTTTTGATTTTGCCATTTGATATGGGATTTTCCGTTTAAAATTTCCTTGGAGTTCGGTATTTTTGATACTTTAATTTTTGCTATGAATTCATCACAGTCATGTTTATCAATATTCTGTTACATTATTAAAATCAAGAACAGGACAAAATCGGTAAAAATGCGGATAATTCGACTGTTCTAGTACATGCATATCAAGATGTAGGACTTCAAAAACATGTCGTTAGTGAGTCGAGAAAATGAAAGTTCTTGTCTATCAGCCAATTCTTGATGATGACCGTTCAACTTGTGAGTGTTGATATCATTTGGTCATCCGGTTAACTCTTTTGCAGCAGAATTGTTGCATGGCCTTTGAATGATTATGCATCATGTGTCGTTAATTGGTTGCTGTTTAATGTGACAAATGTGAACTTAACTCCAAATTAATATAACACAAATTTTGACATTTGTAGAAAAAATGAAATTAACTTTTTGACAGATAATGAAATTAAACATGAATTAATCAAAACTAGGAGATGTGTGATATAATTCAATAGCAAACTAGCAGTTTATGGCGGAATTTTGCTGTTTCTTGACGAAATTAAGGTATTTATAAATCTGTTAGCGCCGACAAGCCTTCAAATAAGCTTGCATCTTTACTTGTAATATAATTGCCTGACAAATCCCTGAAAAGTACATTTTTAAAATTCATTTTTGCATAGTATTAATTTCGTAGACAACTGGCAGTGGTGTATGTAGAGCTGTTTGAAAACTGATTTAATTATTGCATGCATACATGACATAATGACAGTTCTTGTTACCTTAATAATTGAAGTTGGAGAATAACATTTTCAAGTTCTATTCTCAAACCTAAAAACTCTTGTCCTAATACTTTTATACAGCATTACGAAGAAAACTTTGAACACAAAAACATTTGTTTTTGTAACCATATGTAACCGTAGCTAGGTCAATACAACTGTTGGCAGATATTTGGACTCAGTCATCAATTTACAATTTAGTTACCTAAGTTGTCCTTGTTTAGTCCACACAATACTTTATGCGTACATTATAATTTGCGCAACACTTTGTTGCTATTTTTTTTATCAAACCCAAATTGCGTTAAAATGTTTTGTACTCTTCATTCAGTATTTACCCACTAAATATTTGCTAAATTGTGCATATTTTTTTAGCTTTAATTGAAAAGTTTTATTCAAGTTGTATTAAACATTCCATCCTTAAACACAATTAGAAATTTATCTTTATATAGACAATAACTGTAAAGTGTCTTTAAATATCAGCTGTATTTGTACGAGACTAAGAAACAGGTGTAATGCGAGCTTCAGCGAGCTATTACTCCTGTTTCGAGCCAAGTACACATACAACTGATATCTAAAGACACTATACAGTTATTGTCTTTATCCTGCAATGAATTTTGTACATTTTTTTCCAAACCAATCGTTGATTTGTTTTTTTGAAGAAATCGACATGAATTAAACGCGGACCGCGATGAGGACCCCAAATTGACCTGTAACGTAAACATTAATTTGACATAACCGTTCGCTCGCAACTGAAGCAGGATACCAGGAGACTGTATCCGTCTAGTATACGTATATTGCTTAGTGTACACCTGTATTAGTAGGTCGATTGCAGGATAAACATTGATATTTGTTCATACATGTTTTATATAAACTTGGAATGCAGTCGTCGATTATCAATCAAATCTAAACATGTATGACACAATAGAAGAAACATGTGTGAAATTGTCCAAAGCACAATGGTTTGATTGCTATGAAAATGATAATTCTCAATCGAAGATGTCTAGTGCCAGCTTGTTAAGAGTATTCATCTCTTTGAATATTTGTCTCATTTCTAATAATCATATATTCATTCCTGCTGCAGTTTACTATTTTGTCATAAACTGATGCATAGTAATCTCTCAATTTTCAAAAGTCAGATCCCTTAAGTTATCTTATTATTCAATTGCATAACTGTTGTGTCCTTTTATTTTATTACTTCAAAATGGTAAACCTTATACTTTATAGGGTCAAATTAAATGCAATATTTGTAATACAAGTGCAGTGATGCAGAGATGCTGGAAAACTGGTTGATACATAGTAAACATTCTGCATAATGTGGTGTAAAAAGGTATTAAACGTGAATAGCTTAATTTATTAATTTGCATTAAAAACATAAAAAAAAATCCGTGTTGTTCTTAGACAAATATACCGCAATATAAACAGTAAACTTAAAAACAAAAACAATCATCTTAGTGGCAATATTATATAAAAGCTAGGTAGAAACAAATGTTGGATGACTTAAAGTAGGTTCTTATGACATCAGAAACTGATTCCTTTATGCAATCATGTAACTATTTATTGGCAACAGGGTAACGATATATGGATAATAAAGTCACCAAAGAATGCAAGCAGAGAATGTTAGTCACGAATTTTTTATTTTTATTCAGTTATCTAATGTGTCCGTAGGTACCCATACTTCTTAACTCATATAATGTACTTTGTACAATGGAAAATGCCTGTACCAAGTCAGGAATATGACAGTTGTCATCAATTCCTCTGATGTGTTTGAGCTTTTGATTTTGCCATTTGCTTAGGGACTTCCAGTTTAGACTTATGCCTCGGAGTTCGGTATTTTTGTTATTTAACCTTTTTCCTTTATTTTCCTTAGAAAATTGCAGTAATGGAAGTAATGTTGGTTTAATCATATCTCCTTATGAAATTAAATATCAAATATTATATACCTGTATGGAGTTATTTTCTTTCAGAACGATAGGTCATTCTTTCGAAGAATCAACCCGGACGATACCATGTTTTAATGAAATATGCTCCAAGGCATAAAATAATGACCTGTGTGAGGTCATTATTTTCCTTGATAAAAATGCAAACTATAATTTACTTCAAAATTATATTCGTCTGATAGTTTCTGTTGCCGATTTGGGAATTTATTTTTTAAAGTTCAATCTATGATAGGTGTAAAAAAGTCGTCATTGCCCGAATTTTAATTTTAGAAACAAATAATGTGAAGTTTTGTTAATTTATCGCTACAATACAGAGACATTATCATATATAACTTTCATAACACTTTAAAATAAAGCCAGATTTAACTTATTCGTGTGTAAGATTTTGAAAATCTTATTGATTCACACTGAATAGGTTGATTGATTGATGGTTACTTAACGTCCCGTGGCAAATATTTCATGCATGTTCAGGACGATACACACTGAATAGGAAATCATACTGTGACCTACATGTATTGATATTCGTGTTCTTGTAACATGTACATGTATCACGATTTCGTGCCCCCTTCGTGTCAGTTCTTAACTTTTAAACATTTACTCTATCAAATGATTAACTAATAAAATATTGTTTTATTCTATTGAATAACATTCACGTACCTCACAATTAGGTCGGGTGGGGGGAGGGTATATAATTATATCCTGATTATCTGTTAAAAAATGTATTGCTATTCAAAAGAAAATTATTCTGAATATTTCCTTCGATTCAATTAAAATTGTTGAAAAAATAATCACTTTTCCGCGATAAAATGTCATTACAAATAGACAAAAAAACATAGCAGCTCCCCTTTCCATAAACTAAGTTGGTACAATAAATTACTTACAAAGTGTCTTGTATTTTTCATACACCGTTATCAGATGGTAACAATTCATTTGTGTCTTACTTCATGCAGTTACAGTATTATTTTTATTGTGTATGGATAATGATTTCTAAGTTTTATATCTAGATTAATTAGTGAGTTTAATTTCGCATTCTAAATGAGCCGTAATGCGTATTAAAACCTGAACGCATTAGAAAGGTAAAATAGGATGCTAAATTTTGCAAATCTTTATAAAAACAATATTTTTTTGACGGTATATAAGTCATATAATGCATATTTTAAGGTTTTTCTTGTCGTAGAACACACCTCGGGGTGTCAGGATTGCCCAAAGAAAGACATCCCTACAGTCGGTCTTTCGTTTGATCAATCCTGAAACCCATCGGTGTGTTCTACGACAAGAAAAACCTTTAAATATGCATTATCTATAACAGATTAACACACAATTTATCTATTTGTAGAAAAAAAATCTAAACATTAAAAATGCATCATTATTCTATTATTCTTTTTTTTTATGAAAGCTATACCGATGTTCATATATCAAAATTCGATAAAGAATACAATTCAAGGCATCAAAGGCTGGGGGGTGGCATGACATTCAACAGGAGGGAGACATTGTGGGTAGACAGTGTAAAACATCCATAAAAAATACAGAACTTCTACGTAAATTCAAAAAGAGGGAAGTCCATAAGTTCTGACAAAACCAAACGTTCGACTATATCAACCAACGAAATTAATGGAAAACAACTGTCATATTCATGTTTTTATAAAGCTATGTTTGGAAGAAAAAGTTGTTGTTGTTTAAACTTGGTTCAATAGATAGGTAAACCTCCCACTTTGATGACAGTTATCCAAAAATCAAAGATTTTCTACCTCAGTTATGGATTACCTCAGCTGTATTTGCCAAAACCTTTGTTTATCTCGGGTCTTCTTTGCTCTTCACTTTCGTAACTTTATTAGTCTGGTTTTTTTTTTTATTTGAGTGTAACTGATAAGTGTTTTGTAGACAAAACACACGTCAGACGTACAAAATGTTAATCCTGGTATCTATGATTTAATCTATCATTTTCTACATAAGGAAAGGCCTGTACAAAGTCAGTAATATGACGGTTGTTGTCCCTTTGATGTGTTTGAGCTTTTGATTTTGACATTTGATGTGGGACTGTCCGTTTAGAATTTCCTTGGAGTTCGGCATTTTTGATATTGTACTTTTTGCTATGCATTCATAAACAGTCGTATTTATCAAAAATTTCTGTCACAATATGAAAATGAAGAACAGGACATAATCGGTAAACATACGGATAATTCGACTGTTCTAGTACATACAATTGAGAATGGAAATGGGGAATGTGTCAAAGAGACAACATAGACCCGACCATAGAGCAGACAACAGCCGAAAGCCACCAATGGGTCTTCAATGCAGCGAGCATATAAGATGTAGGACTTCAAAAAACATGTCGTTTGTGAGTTGAGAAAATGATATTTCTTGTCAATCAACCAATTCGTGAAGATGACCGTGAAACTTGTGAGTGTCGATATGATTTGTTCATCCTGCTAACTCGTTTTGAGCAGAATTTTTGCATGGCTTTTGAATGATTATGTATCTAGTGTGGTTGATTGGTTGATGTTTAGTTTTATGAACTAAATATAATTTAAAATGTAATGATTGGTTATGTGCTTTTTCTTTATAGATACAAAAGGATTTACGTTAAAGAAAGTTTCCAACGTGAACTTAACACCAAATTAATAAAACACAAATTTTGACATTTGTAAAGAAATTGCAATTAACTTTTTGAAAAAAGGATGAAGAAACTTAACATCAATAAATTAAAACTAGGAGATGTGTGATACAATGCAATAACAAACTAGCAGCACATGGCGGCATATTTTTTCTTCTTGTCGGAATTAAGGTACTTACAATTCTGTTTGAGCCGATAATCCTTCAAATAAGTTTGCATCTATCATTGTAATTTCATTCTCTGACAAATCCCTAAAAAGTACATTTTTAAAATTCATTTTACATAACATTAATTTTGCAGAAATCATAGACAACTGGCAGTGTTGTACGTAGATCTGTTTGAAAACTGATTTGATTATTGAATGCCTATATGACATAATGACAGTTCTTGTAACCTTAATAATTCAAGTTGGAGAATAACATTTTCAAGGTCTACTCTTAAACCTGAAAACTCTTGTCCTAACACTTTTTTACAGCATTACGAAGAAGAATTTGAAAACAAAAACATTTGTATTTGTAACCATATTTAATAGCAGCTGGGTAAAAAACAAACTCCTGGCAGACATTTTGAATATCAGTCATCAATTTCAATTTTGTTACCCAAGTTGTCCCTGTCAAGTCCACACAATGCTTTATGCGTACATTATAATTTTTGCACGATTGTGTTATGTTTTTTTATCATATCAAAATTGCGTTAAAATGTTTTGCCCTCTTCATTCAGTATATTTGCTAAATTGCGCACATTTTTAGAGCTTTAATTGATAAGTTTTATTCAAGTTGTATGAAAAATTCCATCCTTAAACACAATCAGAAATTTACCGAATTTATATCTGTTGATAAATGTTTTATATAAACTTGGAATACAGTCGACTTCCAATTATATCCAAACATGTATGACAAAATAGAAGAAAGGTGCGTGACAATTGTCAAAAGCACAATGGTTTGGTTATTATGAAAATGATTATTCTCAATCGAAGATGTGTAGTGCCAGCTTGTTTAATGTATTCTTCTCTTTGAATATTTGCCTCATTTCTAATAAGAATATATTGATTCCTACTGCAGTTTATTAGCTTGTCATAAATTGATGCAGGGTAATCTCTTAATGTACAAAGGTGATATCCCTCAAGTTATCTTATTATTTAATTGCACAACTCTTACGTCCTTTTATTTTATCACTTCAGAATGGTAAACCTTATACTTTATATGGACAAAACGAATAAAATATTTGTAGTAAAATTGTAGTGAGGCAGAGATGCTTGAAAACTGGTTGATACATAGTATATATACTGGCAAATGTGGTGTACAATAAATAGTAATTAAACGTGAATAGCTTGAATGATTAACGTGCATTTAAACATTATACCAGTCCTGCTCTAAAACATAAAAAACATTAGGTGTTGTTCTTAGACAAATATACGTATACCGCTTTATGAATAATGAACTTAACAAAAAAAAAAACAATTATCTTAGTGGCCATATTATATAAGAGCTAGGTCGAAACAAATGTTGGATGACTTTAAGTGAGATCTTATGACATCAGAGACTGATATCCTTATGCAATCATGTCAATATCAATTGGCAACAGGGTAACGATAGATGGATGATAAAATCAACAAAGAATGCTGGCAGAGAATATTAATCACGAATTTTAATTCAGTTATCTAATGTGTCCGTAGGTACCCATACTTCTTAACTCATATAATGTAATATGTACAATGGTTTCCTTTATTTTCCTTACCAAATAATTGTAATGGAATAAATATAGGTTAAATCATATTTCCTTACTCATTATGAAGTAAAGCAAACGACAATTTAACCAAGGGTAACGTTTAGAGTTATAATTGAAAAATTCCATTTTTGTTTCATAATACTTCCACACTCGATCGGAGTCAGATTTTTAATGTAATACATCGATATTTGTTGATAGTATGTAACATTAACTGTGAGTCCAGTTGATTGTTTTAAAAAGAAAACAATCTTAAAGAAATTCATATGGAAATAGTCCACTGTAATGTGAATTACTTATCGAAGATTGATAATGTTATTCGTGTTATTCCTCTTAAGAAAGATGGGTTTGATTTTAATTTGGTCATCCCTGATCATTTTAACTATCTTGTCATCAAACGATAAAGGCAACTTGCATAATCAATCTTCTGTTGACTTGAAGTTATCTTATCTTATTAATTACTGACATCCAAATGTACTCATTTGGTTTTTATTTTATAGAAATATTACACCTTAAACCAATAACCAAAATTAGATTAACATAAAATTTATCTATTTGTAGTAAATTTTTCTAAACATTAAAAAAAAAGAAATTAAAAGAAATGAATCAAAGCATCAGTATTCTTTCATTCTCTAGATCTTTACTATTGGAGATTTACCGATGTTTAAATATTATAAATTGATTAAGAATACAATTGATGTTAACAAGCGAAGACTGAGAGATTACATGAAATCCAATAGGAGAGATACCTGGTGCGTCGACAATGTAATACATGCACTAACATAATAAAGAACTCCAAGATAAATTCAACAAGCATTCTGAGAGCATTACATGGCAATACATAGTTCCCTAACGGTTAAAAATTCATTGTACTGGAACAAAATGCTAACTTGATCTATAACTTGGTGTAAAAAATATAACAAATATCAAGTCAATATCTTCAAGCATGACGAAAACAAGTGTGGAAAACTGATTATTTAAGTGAATCCAAGGACCATAACTCTGCACAAAATCATCAGATCGGAACAAAATTCAAATTTTTATCTGTAACTTGTCATAATAAAACTATACACCAATTATCAAATCAATATCTTCAAGCATGACGAAAAAAGTGCGGAAAACTGATTGAGTGAATTTTCTAAGTCCAAGGACCATAACTCTGCACAAAATCAGCAGACCGGAAAAAATTCGAACTTGATCTGTAACTTGTCATGATAAAACAATACTCAAAATATCAAATCAATACCTTCAAGCACGAAGACAAATTGTGGAAAACTGATTTGCCAGACTGACGGATGGACAGACTGACAGACAGACAGACAGACGGACAAAGTGCAAACCTAAAGTCCCTTTCGACTTCGTCGGTAGGGGACTAAAAAGAGGGAAGTCCATAAAATCTTACAAAAACAAACATGATTATATCAACCAACTGAACTATTGGAAAACAACTGTCATATTTAACTTGGTTTACAAGCTATATTTTGTAGGTAATCCTCCCACTTTGATGACAGTTATCGAAATACCAAAGAGTTTCTACCTCACGAATTGATAACCTTAGCTGTATTTGGCAAAACTTTTCGGAAAAAATTTGGGTCCTCATTGCTTTTCACCTTCATACTTTATTCGTGTGTCAGTGATGAGTGTTTTGTAGACAAAAAAAAAAAGGCGTCTGGCGTTCAAAATTTTAATCTGGTATCCATGATGAGTTCATTCATAGTTCGGTTCTTAAAAGATATAATGGAGATCAAGCAGCCGAAATTGTGTAAACATACATCATAGATATACAACACAATTGACGTAAACCCATTTAAACAAACATTTAAATAAATCCGACAAGGACGTGAACAACAAAAATGTGGAAGTTGGTAAGCGTCTCTTGATACAAGTGAGAGGTTTAGCTAGCTATAAAACCAGGTTCAATCCACCATTTTCTACATAAGGAAATGTATGTACCAAGTCAGGAATATGACAGTTGTTTTCCATTCGTTTGATCTGTTTGAGCTTTTTATTTTGCCATTTAATAAAGGACTTTTGATTTAGAATTTTCCTTGGAGTTTGGTATTTTTGATATTTTACTTTTTGCTATGCATTCATCACCAGTCATGCTCATTAAAATTCAGTCAAAATTTCACAATCAAGAACAGGACATAATCGGTAAAAATACAGATAAATCGACTGTTCTAGTACAAGCATATAAAGATGTAGGATTTAAAAAAAAAACATGTCATTCATGAGTTGAGTAAACAGATAGTGTCAATCACCTAATTCGTGATTGTGACCGTGAAACTTGTCGATATCATTCGTTCACCCTGATAGCTCTTTTGGAGCAGACTTTTTGTAAAGGCTTTTAAAGAAAGTGCATCTAGTGCGTTAAATTGGTGGCCGTTTAGTACTATAAACAAAATATATTTTTGAAATGTAATGATTCGTTGTATTTTCATCTTTATAAATACAAAAGGATTTACGTTTACGAAAAGGTCCAACGTGAACTTAACATAAAATTAACTAAACACAAATTTTGACATTTGTAGAAAAGTTGCAATTACCTTTTCAAAAAAGAATAAAGAGATGCCTATAGATATCACATAAAAAATAATTGAACATAAATAAATTAATAATCTATGTGTGATATAATGCAATTATTTTAGACATCAAGCAGCATATGGCGGCTTTTTTTTTCTTCGCGATGTTAAGTTACTTACAATGTTGTTAGCGCCGACAATCCTTTAAATGTGTTGGCATCAATCCTTGTAATTTTATTTTTCTTCAAATTCCTGAAAATAATATTTTTAAAATTCCAATTTGCAGTACATTTAATTTTTAGAAATCAAAGACAACTGGCAATGATGTACGTAGGTCTGTTTGCAAACTGATTTGATTATTGCATGCATACATGACAGAATGACAGTGTTTTTAAGGTCTACTCTTAAAACTAAAAAACCTTGTCCTCAGATCCTTTTACAGCATTACGAATGATGAATTTGAATAACAAATTATTTGTGTTTGTAATTTTTTTTAACAGCAGCCAGGTCAATACAAATGTTGACTAACATGAAGAATATCAATGAATATCTGTAAACAATTTTCAATTCAGTTACCGAAGTTGTCCTTTTGAAGTCCATACAATGCTTTATGAGTAAATTATAATTTGCGCAATATTATCGTTGTTTTTTTTTTATGAAACCTGAAATGCCCTCACGAATCAGTATTTACTACATCTTTGCAAAATTACGCATATTTCTAGAGCTTTAGTTGAAATGTTTTCATTTATTCGTTGTATAAAACTTACCAGACTAAACCAAAATCAGATATTTATCGTAATGTATCGATATTTGTTGATACATGTTTTATATAAACTTGGAATACAGTTGATTACCTATAAATCCAAACATATATGACAAAATAGAAGAAAGATACGTGAACATTGACCAAATTACAATGGTTTGGTTGTTCTGAAAATGATAATTACCAATCGAAATAGCAACAGCTTCTTACGAGTATTCCTGTCTTAGGATATTGGCCTTAA